CGGCCATTTTCCGCCCGTTCCACGTGGTCCGCGGCCATTTTTCCACCCGTGCCACGTGGTCTGCGGCCATTTCCCACCCATTCCACATAGTCCGCGGCCATTTTTCCACCCGTGCCACGTGGTCCGCGGCCATTTCCCGCCAGTTCCATGTGGTCCGTGGTCATTTTTCCGCCCGACACATGGTCCGCGGACGCCGGAACAGATTAATGGTAATTACATTGAACCTTATGGGAAAATTTACTTCGACTTGCGACCAACTTGACTTGCAATCAGAGTCACGGAACGGATTAAATTCGTAAGTAGAGGTACCACTGTACATGTTTCTTTCTAGGTATCTATTCATGTTCCTTCCCATCATACCTTTGTTACAGTTGATGCCATAGAAACCAGGTGGACAGATACACAATCCAGGCATGACGCAGAGTCCTCCATTCATGCAATGTGGTGTACACAGAGCTGATTTAAAGAGAATGAAGAACCAATATTACCACGGAACAATTGGCATAAATGTATTGCGAGGACAGATCTTAAAATAGAAAGCACTTTTCATCTCACAACTGAGATACCTTTCTTTCCTGCAAAGAAAAGTGTTGATTCACTGGCAGACAATCCAATGATACTCTATAAGTAAGATCTTAAGCTTGATTTTCAGCCAGGTTTTTCTATAACTCGCATATATGAACACCAAACTGTAACCAGTGGAAGAAAACTGAAATTTTACTTACAACATTTTTAATGGGCTGTACACTCATATATTCCTAAGTGCATGAGACACAAATAGATTATGCTTACTGGACCTGCTCCCAATGCTAAGGCCACGTAAACAAAAACCATGTGCCAGTCAGGGTTCCTGATCCCTGGAAGCCAGGAAAGAGCTATTTCATCCTTCAGTTCCCATAATTAACTGCCATCCAAATGGAGGCCAGGAAAATAATGCAGCTGAAGTCAACGTATCTGGAAGAAACCAGGTTCCAGAAGGTTGTGCAAGTGTACAAGTTAGGAACATTTTAGAAAGAGATTCCATAATACACTCTTCCCTCTCCTGTGGCAAAGAGGAACAATTAGGGTTAGTCCTGGCAAACAGGGCTCAACTGAAAGTATACAGTCTATGCGATAGGTCTGACCCGTGCAGTCTGTCCTTTTGCACAGATAAAATCTTGATTTATAATGAACATTGGAAACTCTCTTGATGGTAGAGTAAAACAAACGTGGTACTTAGTTTTTTACAGTTAGTGTTCATTCAACTTAATGTTTTGCCAGCGGAATTCTCATTAAGTCGTTGGCCAGTTCTTTTTTGCCTTTCAGATCCTTTAGTGGAAACTTCTTTATCTTTTGTATAAACAAACCATGCTTTCTTAAGAGCTGCAGTTCATTAAATACTTTTCTTATGTGTTTAGATTTAATTTTAGGAAGCCTCCTAGCCATATCCAAAAATTCCTCCAAAACAGTATTTTGGAAAGAAGTGACTGCTTAGCTTCTTTTGTTGTATAAACAAAGTACAGAAGAGAACTGAAGAACCCTTTTTGATTACCTTTTTCACAGTGAGGACCATAAAATCCATCTGGACATTCACAGACATGCCTTTCATTACAAAATCCTCCATTTCTGCATCCTCCAGGACATTCAGCTTCAAAGAAGATGACACAGATTAAATTAATTTACTTATTTGTTGCTTAAACACACCAGCGTCTATTGATGATATGATAGTTAGGGATTCCAAAAAAGAACATATCCATGTCAAAATCTCTGATATTTTGATAGCATACATGGACCAACATGTGTAAGAAAACTATAATCACAGGCATGGATGTCAAGTTATTATAATATAAAGGAATGTTAAGGGAAAGCAGTAATGAAGGAAAATTTCTGGTTTTATTCTCCAACTTGCAGAGTCAAAGCTCTATACACATTTTTTGGAAGGAATAAACCCCATTTAACAGAGAAGAACTTAACTGTGAAATCCCAATTTAATGGACTTTTTGAGGCTGGACAAACTGGCAACTGGCTTTTCTGTCACTGGCAAACCTTTGATCGTCCATCGTCTTTGACTTCCAACAGGTCCATCTGCATTCAGTAAACAGATCCCATGGTGTTTCTTCCTCTTCAGGTATTTCTTTGGATATCTTTAGCAATATTCTCCAGATTTGCCCTGAACTACCAAGCCTTCAGCAGTGTAAATATGGCCCAGTCCAACTGAGATTTGCCAGACCGCACAGATCTTCAATCTCCAGAGCTATCTAGGTCCATCTTAATTAGCAGCTATTACCTCCATTTCAGTTCTCTGGTCATTTAAGACTGTTTCTACTGCCACCATAATATCTTCCTTCTCCTATGTGAACTTTTCCTATGAGAAACAAAACTATGCTATAATCCCAATTTCTCCTTATCAGCAAAACTAGTGCCAAGTGTCTGTTTGGGTTTCTGCATGGGTATGTGAACAGCCAGCTGGAAGATGTAGCTGAACATAGACTGACACAAGTCACCTTCTTGTATTCTCTTTTCTTCATTATCCATCTTATGTTAACTATCTGATTTTATGTCTCCCTGCTTTTTCTGAAATCTGCCTGTTTATTATTTTTCTCTCCAGTATGGCTCTGTTCTTCCATTGGTTGCAATGGTTTGGTTAACTCCATTTCCCTCTTTCCATATATGTTAATATACTGATCTTTTGCAGTCTCTAAGCCACATAATCTTTTTCCATATTCGTTGATATAAAGTGATTGACACTTTAATTGCCTTTTCTCCAGCAGAACAATTCAACTGATATTTCAGCTGTGCCTATAGCTTTCCTGTTTGTATCTGGTCTACTGCCTGTTCTGCATTACCTTCAGGTGAAGTCAATTTTATCTCAGTACCAATGTTTCTATAATTCCATAATCCTCTTTGTAAAGGGTTTAAGCGTTGTTTTATTGCCTTAATTTGATCTCATTTACCTTTATCAGGTCTTTTCTATCATTACTCCTGAGTGTTCCTATTTTAATTGCAAATGTTCCTGGTATTTCTCTTGCCTTCTTGGAAACAACTTTCATTTCCATTTCTTGTTATATTCTACTACTGATATTCTTGACTGAAATATTTTTTCTTGTCCTTTCTTACTTGATGCTTTAGTCAGCACTAGGCCACAGTATGCCCTGCTAGTTGTCCAAGGCTTTCATTCTCTGTCTTTCCTTGGCTATCATGATAGCTAGTTCTGAAAGCCAGAAACCTTGCACATGAACTAAATGGCAGCTGCTCTTCTTGCATCAATTTCCATAAAGTCAAATTTGTGTAAACTGGGCCTTATGTAACCAGGGGATGGCATGTATTGTTTGAGTATTGTTTCTACCCCATTCCTTTATATTGACTCATTCTCTGAATCACTATGAAGGAATGGGGTGGAAATAAAAAAGACATATGTGATCAACCATAATCAAATAAATGACAGGAGCATATATCTGTTAAAGGAATGGCCACCATTGTCTTCATGTGCAAGATGACAGCCACCCTGTTTGAGGTTAAAAAAATAAAGGCAACTATGCTTATAGTACAAAATTGGAAACTGCTATGGCACACAAGCCAGTGTATGTAAAAATAGGCTTACACAAAGGTTCCTGAAACTGAACCCTTGAATAATCCTGGGGCTACCTGCATATCCCATAATCATATGAGTTAAAGTAGTCTATTTTGGTCTATTCAAATTCAGACAGAAACCTTATTTCAGCCTTTGACCAATAAAAATACATTCTATAAAACAAACAAAACAAAATTATTCCCTAACATCAATAACTGTTAGCAACCATCTGTGGGCGAAGCTTACCCAAAATGTAGCAGAATTTTGCTACTTTTAGATAAATGCATTTATCTTGATTGTTTAACAGATAATGCAAATAAAAATTATCAGAGTATCCTGGAAGTTTAAATAAAAGGGGGATAATCGACGGGTGGTGAATATCCCTGTGGAACTGACAATACAAAAGAACATAGGCTGTGGTTCTATGGCACCCATGTCACAGAGGCAATATTGTGTTTCCTATGGGATTTTCCTGTACTTCCCTTCCAAGACAGCTCTGGGGAGGATATTTAATCGGGCTAGAGATAAGGCCCTCCTGAATTTGGGGACTGTACTTTGGTATAAATATGAAGCTGGTTCAAGTCCAGCTATTCCTCAAGTATCCAATTTGGTATGCTTCATTTTTGCTTTGATTATTACAAATTTTCCTTAGTTCATGCATTGGAAAATGGTTTTTTCCTACTTTCTACACCTCTAGTAAGGTTTGGATTAGGTAGTTCTTCTGTTTTTGGGGTCTCCTATTACTACTGCTGGAGATTTCCCACTCTCTTGCTTCAGGATGGGGAAAGGGGATCAAATGTTGATTTTCCAAACATAACGAAGACTCTGAAAAAAGACATGTTTTTATTCAGCTCACTTCCAGTTACCTTGTTGACATGTTTTAAAGAAGATGGCATTCTGTGGTGTTTGCAGTATGATAGTGCCTTCTGAATTCATTATAATTACTGTAACTTCAAATGCTGCCACTCCATCTTGTTTTCCAAGGCAAGGAAATCCAACTTGAACAACTAAAAATAAAGGGAAAAAAGTTACATGTTTTCGGTGGCATGTTAATGATGTTAAGGAGAATATTGTATTATATGGGGAATCTGAATTTGAAAAATGGCACGTGTGGTGCCCTTCCTGATGGAATTTAGAAAAGAAGTGAAAACAGGACTCTTTCGCAGATCTTGTGTTACTGGAATAGTGGATGGTAAAGAAGGATTGATAT